ATCCACCGTTTCGTACGTGCATCTGTCTCTTCTGTTTCTCTGCAATCTTTTCCTCTAACACGCAACACCTGGCAACGCTTTGGTAATCATCGCACTCCTAACCCTTCCACTTGGCAGCCGACGTCCGTCGCCCCGCCCCCTTGCCTCAAACAGGTCCTCAACACTCCTGTAGGACTCTCTCGTCCCCACTTTTGGCTGCGGCTTCGTCAGTGGTGCGTGGACACTGGAGGAAGACGGACAGAGAGGAAACAGGTGTAAGTGTGTACACTTTTTTTTCTTTCTCATTTTCATTGTACTTTTATCTTTCTATTTGTTTATGAGTTAATTTATTGTTATCGGGTATTTTCTCCCTCTCTTTTCTTATTTTCTTTTGCCAAGCGGGAAGATGAACAAGTAAACTTGTACAGTGTTTTATATCATGTGTGAATATTTGCTGAAACAATATTTTCATTACTCTACTCGAATCCATGCAATAATTGCAAGGTATAAACAATCAGCATAAAAATCGGATCAAACAGAAATTCGCTAGAACTGCAGGTACGACTTCCTTGAGATTAACAACACGGAAAACATTGTCATGCGCCGTACAGCTTGCACGGTTGTAGACGGAGGCCCATTTCTGGCTTTGGTCCAATACATGAACATGAGTTGCCTGAAGAATCTCTCTTACCTATTTCTCCTGTCCCCGTTTACCTTGAGTTTTTTTAAGCGCTGATCATAAATAATAGGAAAAAAACGCATCGCCACATCCCCAAACCGAATTATCGACCCAACACAAGTTCAGATTCCTTCTTTTCCAATACAGTCGATTCTAAGTAGGTATTCTGATCACTTTAGTATGGATGTCGTGTACAAAGAATTTTACGGTGATTTTTTACCGGTGCGTAGTGCCGTAGGGAGGGGGTGGGCGTGGGGAGGGGGTGGGTTCACTCCCAGCCATCCGCTGCCGCTGTGCCCCCTGACAGTCCTGCTTCTGTTGGTTCTGATACATGATTGTCGTTGAGAAACTTTATCGTAGGATTTAGTTTTAGATGGTGTATCTTGTTATTGTATTCGATTATAGGATTATATTAAAGATGATATGCTTTGTTGGAGTTCTGAATATAGCTAAAGATATTTGATTGGTGTGCCTAATCATGGTTAAGGTATTTCATTAGAGTGCTTAATCATACGGAGTGCATTTTATCATAATAACTGTAAACATGCCTAAATCTCCGCACATAATCATGGACAATATATATACAGTCGTCTTCATTCATAGTAATTATATCTATTTTTTAAGTTTGTTGTACTGGATCATGGAATTATGGTGTTTTTTTCTCTATTGCTGTAGTTTTCAGTATTTCTCAGGATACTAAATTCGCTATACCTTGTAAAAAATTATAAATATAGCAGGACACTTACCTTAATGACATATTTCATACAAAGGAAATTTAATTCAAAAATAGAGATTACGATTTTGATAACAATTTATTTATAATATTAAACAGATACTAGAACACTGACTCACTCTTTTTCTTTTTAAATAAAACCGCCATCATTCCCTAACATAATTTTGCCATAATTACAGTCGAACACATTCCTTTCCCATTTAAATCGAAAATATATTTCGAAGAAAAAGGCTTAATATAGTTCTTTAAAAATAAAAAAGCGTGAAAAGGAATCTGGAAATATCCACTTACTCTTACCTCGACACAGCCACCCAGCAGGCAGTCAGGTGCCGGACGGGATTTCCGCCGCCCTTCTGCCGCCACAGCCGCGCCGTGGGCGGCTCGCTCACACGGCCATCGCTGTTCACTATTATTGTTCTTGTTGGTTTGTTGCTGTTGTTGTTATCATCATTAGCATCATTATTGTTACTATTATTTTTCATCATTATGATCATTATTAATATTTTTATTACTATTATTATTACTATTATTAGTGATATCATTATTGTTATTATTATTGCTATTATTATTATTATTATTATTATCATTATTATTATTATTGTTATTATTTATTTTATCACTATTGATATTGTTTGCTGTTGTTATTGCCGTTGTACTTATTGTTATCATTATTATTATCATTATTTTATTATTATTATTATTATTATTATTGTTATTGGTATCATTATCGTTGTTATTATAATTGCCATTGTTATTATTATTGTTATTATTGTAATTATTAATATCATTATCACTGTTATTATCATTATCATTGTTATTAATATTATTACTATTTTTATTATCATTATGCTTATTGCTAATATTAGTACTATTTCATAATTAATCTTCTTACCATTACTAATATTATCATCATCACTATTATCCTCATCACCATTATCATTATCAACGTCATTAAAATCATCACTATCACCATTATTACCACATGATCACCATCTCTATTTCCTCCACAAACATTACCATTGCTATTATTAACAGGACTGACATTTTACTATTCACAGGTACAATGAAACTGCTGGTCCTGTGTCTCGGCCTGCTCGCAACATGCAACT